AGACTTGAACTATCCTACTGTCCCACGTCCGAGATGGCCAGCTGACTACTTGACCAAGAAGGCTCGGAAAACAGAAGTTCGAGTACTGCATGCCTGCTGACTGGACAAAGCCACGTCACCAGCAGCGACACTCCCAGAAGCGAAGGGGAGTGTTGGGAACAAACAATCTTAAGCGCCTCTGTCGTGTCGAAACACCAAGGCACAAGCGAAGCAGAGCGTATCGATGGCACCAGCGACCGTCAACCCTCGGAGGTTGAAAGTAACCGCTGGAGGTTACGCGAAAGTCAAAGGTCAGCGACCTTTGACTTGACAAATGCAGCGCGACAGCAAGGACACACAATGACTCGACATTTGAGCAGTTGCCCGAGTCGCACTGTACTCGAACCGCAACAGTAAAACAGTTTAATTATATCTCTTCGTATTCTTTGTTACTCTTATATAAACCTTTGTACTTGCTGTTTTAATCAACTTACTTTTGCCCTCACATACCAGCGCAAGGTGGTTCAAGGACTTCATTAAACGCTTCCGCCTACTACATCACTCTACCCAGAGTTCTAACCCTACCAAAGATCCTAAAGGGCACTCAGCCCAACAAAAATACATAATAATAATAAAAAGTAATTTGCCAAGCCAACTCCTGAAGCACAGGTTTTGGTGACCGGCAGCAGTCACCTGGGAGGCTGCGTGCGTCTGGCAGCGGCTTGGAGCAGCAGCACTGCCAGCACCACACATGCTCTACTAGTACTACCCACCATATCAAGATCTTCCCGACTCCCAAAACAAGCCCGCTGCTGGGCTTGGCACTGCGGCTGATTCAAGCCGAGACAGCAGATGTGGCTGTCGTGGTGGTAGCCACGGCTGGTGCTGCTTTTGCGGCGGCGGCAGCGGCGGCCTGGCAGCGGCGACACATCAAGGCACTCCCCCAGAGGATCACCACCAGTGGCAGCGGTCAGGGGTGGCATGCAGAGGTCAGGTGGGCTTGCCACAAGGCTGGGGAAAGCTTGTGAGGCAACACAGCTCGTGCTTGCAAGCACTGGCCCCTGCGAGGGTTCTGCTCCTGCTTCCGCTGGTGCTGCTGGTTGTGGTGGTGCTGCCGCTGGTGCTGCTTGTCCTTTAGTGACAGGCACAGGGACCTCTCTTGCCCATGCCTTGAGGCCTCTCCCCCATGCAGCATCCCCCACGGCCTCTCGGCCGAGATAAGTTCCAGGGGCGCTGAGTGAGAGCTCCAGCGATGGCTGCTCCTCCTCCCATTCGCCCTCCTCCCCCCGCGCCTCCTGGTTGCAGCGACAGTCTTGGTGGCGCGACACGGGTTTGCGAGCTCGCGACCACGAGCATTTGTAATAAGACCTGGCGGAACCGGCGGAAGACGGCAAATGAGCGATTAAGTCAGATTGGTATAGTAGTGAGCAGTGAAGGGGGGTGCATGTAGCGACAGCAGAGGGACATGCGGGAAGCAGAACGCGAGGGGCAGGAATCATCGGGATTGTTGAGCGGAACGAGCAGCAGCATCGGCGAAGTTGCGCCGGGCAGCAGCATTAGCATGAGCATAAGAATAAAAGGTACCTCATAACAGTGTTCTTGCTGATGCGCTTCTCGCCGTACTTCAGCAACGCGTAGCCGTTCAGCGTTTAGCGACGTCCGTCAACGACCTGCAGGTCCCGGCCGGTTGATTTTGACCGCCATCGCCGGCTCTTGCGGCGCAGCCACTGACGGTGCCGCCACGGGACTGTCGGTTGCTGGTGCTATTCGCTTCCGAAGCGGATAACGGCGAGTTTTATACCGGCGGTCCGCCGGGATCCTCGGCGCAATATCCGCCGGAAGAAACAAGGCTCGGGATAACAGCACGTGAGAGCAAAAGGCTGCTCCCGGGAAGTTGCTGGCTCTCTGTCGTCGCAAGGTAGAAATCCATCGTGGACGCGCGGTCGCGCAACCTAATAGGAGATGCGAGGAGAGAAATACTTCCTGATTCGCTATCTTTCTGCTTGGTTGCGTAGTAAATGGTTGGTCGCTCGAGCTGGAGAAAGAGACATTCATCTTCGGCTTTCTCCTCCCCACTATTCCTCTGCCTTGAAGTTGAAGCACAATACTTGACATCTCAGATGCAACTGGGTGGGAAGTCAGGAGTCTCGACTGTAGTAGGACCGGCGAGAAAGTCGCGTTGTTTGTTGTGATTCGTCAATGATCACTGATGAGCAAATTGCTGCTCTGTTGTCCTGCTGCTTGATTGTTTCGCGCCCTCGCCGCTCCGTCAAGTATTGCCGCACAACATTCGGTTTTCCTTCGAGTCGCGCGCGGAGCTGGTGGGTGGGCCAGTGGGGTCAAGCGGACTGATGCGCGATGCCAGAACAGCACAGAAGCTGCATTCGTCAAGTGAGTCAAGTGGAGACGAGAGGAGGTTGAACAAAGCCGTGTTGGTGGTCAATACCTTCCGTTCTGCGATACAGTGCAAAATCGTCTACAACATTCTTTACACAGCAAGGCACAAATCCAATCACTCACAAACAAGCACACCATATTTCAAGCATAATATCCAAAGCAGCCATTCATTTCAATGACTCCTCATACGTGCAAAATATGCTTGGCTAGCATAGATGCAGCACACAGCACACTTATTGACCATGCAGTTTACCACACCTGATGTTCCACTGTAGATAGATGGCCCTCAGTTTTCCCAAGCACAGAGGGCGGCAAGTCGGGCTCTCCGAACAGCATGCTCTGCCCGCCACTGCCGGCACCCATGTCAGGCGCATCACTGCCCGGCACCACTGGCTTGGGCCCGCACAGAGCGCCATGCTGCTGTGAGAGCAGCTCGTCCAGCTGGCCCCCTGGCTGGGCAAACGCCTGCCACTCTGGCAGCTTTTCTAGCTTCGCCTGCCATGGATGGGGAGGGGGGGAAGTGGGGAGGGAGAGGGGGAGAAGGGAGGGGGGAAGAGACGGGGAAGTGAGAGATGTGCAGAGTGGCAAGGGAGGGTATGAGGGCAGGAGGTGGGGAGAGGAGGAAAGAGGGGAGGTGGAGGTGTGCTTTATCCAAAGACCTGGCAGAGTGTGTGAGACACGTGCAGTGGTGAGAGTGAGGGTACATACCTGCAGTGGTGAGAGTGAGGGTGCATACCTGCAGTGGTGAGAGTGAGGGTGCATACCTGCAGTGGTGAGAGTGAGGGTGCATACCTGCAGTGGTGAGAGTGAGGGTGCATACCTGCAGTGGTGAGAGTGAGGGTGCATACCTGCAGTGGTGAGAGTGAGGGTGCATACCTGCAGTGGTGAGAGTGAGGGTGCATACCTGCAGTGGTGAGAGTGAGGGTGCATACCTGCAGTGGCGCACTGGTGGTTGCTCTGCCCCTGATGTCAAACATGAGCTGAATGATGGGGCCTGCATGCCTGTGCACAGCATCACATGCACACATGCACACATGCACACATGCACACATGCGCACATGCGCACATGGGCACATGCGCACATGCGCACATGCGCACATTCACACATGCACACATGCACACACGCACACATGCACACGTGCACACATGCGCACACGCACACATGCACACACATACATACACCCACAACAACTACACACATGCATCCCCCCCCCTTTCCCCAAACCCCCCTTGCTTTGCACACACAAGCCACATGCTCGTATGGACATAACAGCGCATGCGCACATGCACACACAAGTAAGCACACAAACACACAGAGTCAGCCCAGCTCAGAACACACTTCGGCCAGAAAATGTTCAACAATCAACACTTGGAACACCGAAGTCCTAGGCAGCGCAAGCCCTACCCGGGTCGTTGGCCAATGGGGGTGTTGATCCAGGGAGCTGCCGTCACTGCCAGCCTCACAGGCAGAGCCAGCGGGCCTGAAGGAACCAATGGCTCCGCTGCCGCTGCTGCTGCTGTCTGCTTCTTCCCCTCACCCTCCCCCTTGCTATCCCTCTCCCCTTCCCCCTTGCCCTCCTCTTGGCCCTTATCTTCTGCCCCCTTCTCTTCCTCTCCTGGCCCCTCCCTCTCCACCTTCTCCACCTCACTACTAGCAGCCTCGCTATCAGCAGTCCCACTACCACCCTCCTCCGCCCCACCACCCGTCACCTCTGCTGCCTTATCTGTCCCTTCCTCTCCTGCTCCCCCCGTCCCCCCTGCTTCCCCCTTCTCCCCATTCACGCGCCCCCCGTTTGGCCTCTGGTTCTACGTCCACCTGGGACGGGGGTCCGCCTCCCCCTCCCCCTGCCCGCTCCCCCCGCGCCTTCCTCACCGCCCCCTCGTCCCCCCCTGCACTTGTTGGGGGAGTATCGGGGGAGGTGGAGGGGGGGTCGGAGGAGGCAGACTCCGCCGCAGCAGCAGAAGCAGCAGCGGATTCGGAGACAGCAGCAGCATCAGAGGTAGCAGCATCAGCAGCAGTGGTGCTGTCTGTGGTGGTGGTGCCACTGGTAGTGGCAGCGGTGGCAGCAGGTGGAGAGGAGGAGGGAAGAGAAGGGGAGGAGGAGAGAGCAGTGATGGTGGACGATGTGGAGGAGGAGGAGTCATCGGAAGGAGGGGGGTCAAGGAGAGACGAGGAGAGGGATGAGTTGGGACGCTCCAGGGCGGACTGGCGGAGGGACGCATCAAGGGAGGGGGTTTGGGAGAAGAACAGAAAGATTCGAGATTGTAAGGGGAGCACTGAGGAACGGGGAATGGCATGGCGATTGATTTGGAGGAGTGATGAAGGGGGAGGTGCTACACATTGTAACGGAAAGGGAGGAGGGATACGGAAAGTGGGGGGCGGGATGTATGCACCCAATGCAACACGACCTATACATGAGCAAGCAGCACGTACCATGACGAAGCAGCACACGCCATGGTGCAGAACGTTGCTCCAGAGGAAGTCAAACAGCAACGCCGCCACCTTCTTCCCCACGTCCTCTCTCGCCAGCCTGTCATCCACCACGCGCCCACACGTCCCCAGCACCTTGCGCAGCAGCAGCAGCAGCAGCAGCACATACTTGAGGCAGCACACACGCACGTACCATGAGGAAGCAGCAGACCCCATGGTGCAGAACATTGCTCCACGGGAAGTCAAACAGCAGCGAGGCCACCTTGCGCCCCACGTCCTCTCTCGCCAGCCTGTCATCCACCACGCGCCCACACGCCCCCAGCACCTTGCGCAGCAACAGCACCGCCAGGATGCGGTGCCGCCCCGCTGCCGGCTCTGCCAGCTTGCGCTGGCACTGCTGGGGAGGTATGGGCAGCTCCAGCAGGGAGGCGAACGTCGGTAGACTCTCCACCACCAGCCGCAGCGGCTGGGCACGCAGAAGGAGCGTGGGGAGGGGTAAGAGGACAAAAGAGAGGGAACGCGTTCATCATTTCTTTTTAGGGGAGTGTGAGTTGTTGGACCATAGTAACATACAGGGGCGAATGACACAAACAAGGCAGCAGCCTTGCTGCCGGTTTCGCCAGCTTGCGCTGGCACTGCTGCGGTGGTATGGGCAGCTCCAGCAGGGATGCGAACGTGGGTAGACTCTCCACCACCAGCCGCAGCGGCTGGAGATGTGGAAGGGAGGGGTGGGGAGAGATTACAGGGGAGCGGGGAGAGGGGGGAGCAGAAGTGGACAGACGAAGAAAACATTTGTTTTCATATTACGAACCATGGGGGCATGTAGGAGCGCACCAGAAAAGAGGCAGCTAACTAGGGAGCAGCACAAGCAGGCATGGAGCGCGCACGAGGGGAAGCATGTTGATGGGCGAGTTGTGGTATGACTTGGTGGGGTTGCAGCACAGGTCAGCACAGCAGCGATCAGCTCCATTCTAGGTGCCTCAACAACCATCAAAGCCTTCCGCCCACTGGAACATGTCACATAACCAACTTGTCATAATCATCTCACCAGCGGCAGCTTGCTAATAGGAGAGTTGTGGTAGGACTTGGTGGGATTGCGGCGCAGGTCAGCATCGACCAGCTCCACCACGTCCTCTAGTGCCTCCATCATCATGCGTGAGTCAAACAGCCGCGCTGCCCTTTGAAAGGGTTGCGGTGCATTGCAGGTCAGCAGCACCGACCGACCAGTTTCATTCTGGGTGCCTCAACTATCGCCTACGCTTTAAGACCCCTTGAGGCCTCTCGCGTCAAGAGAGCTCACTCACTCACCAGTGGCAGCTTGCTGATGGGCGAGTTGTGGTAGGACTTGGAGGGGTTGCGGCGCAGGTCAGCATCGACGAGCTCCACCACGTCCTCCAGTGCCTCCGCCATCATGCCCGAGTCAAACACCCGCGTCACTATGCTCCTGCTGCTGCTGCCCTCCGGTGCCATCTGCTGCAGCTTCTCGGATGCTTCCCTGATGAACCGGACGGCCGCGTCGATCTATGTGGGAACAGGACAGCGGGGAGGGGAGGGTGAACGAGAGTGAATGAGAGGCGCTGGCATAGAGAGTGCACGGTACATCGTAATGACATTAGATTGATCCAGCCATGAACGGATGTTGCTCGCTGCCACCTCTCACTATAACCCCAGGAATCCCGCGTCCATGTCACGACATTACTTTCACTTTCACCCATCCACCCCCCCCACCACTCGCCTCACCCTGATCTGTGGGTTGCTCGCCTTGCTGGCCAACCCGCCCCCCATCCGCTCCCCGCTTTCAAAGCCACGTGGGTCCGCCATGCCCTGCCCCTTTCCTCCCTGCGCGCCCTTCTTCTCCTGTGCTGCTGGAGGCGGGCTCTCCTCGTACTCTATCTGCAGCACACGGGAGGCACATCAACAGGGTATCAACAGGGCTTGAATCGTTTCAAGACTTTTGCCAAGATGGCCCTGTGCGTGGCAATGTTAGCCCACCTGGCATCACAAGATGTTTTCTGCGTTTTAACATCGCAACATGTTAACCCACTAGACTTAAAAGAGCTTCCGTGTGATAAAATTAGCCCAAGACGACATGACATTACGGACAGCCCCATGCCCCCACCCACCGCACCCACTCACCCTCACGAGCTTCCTGACAGCCTGCAGATTCGCCAGACACGCCCGCCCAGACGCCGAGATCGGATTGCGCTTCACGTTCAGGGAAATCAAATCCGGGGCGGCACTGGGGGCGGAGAGCGCGCAGGCGAGCTGGCGCAGGCCTGCATCCGATATAAGGTTCTCTGATAAGTCGACAGAGGTGACTGTCTCGCAGTGGATGAGCGCGTCTGTGAGGCGGCGCAGCTTCTTGTCGCCCACACGGCACCGCGCCAGCTGCACCCACATGCACAGGTCCGCCTTGCTGCGCATCGACTCTAATGCAGCAGCAAACCTGGAAGAGGGGAGGGGGAAGGGAGGAAGTGGGGAAGGGAGGTTGTGGGAGTTGGATCGAGAATAGTTGGGGGAAAGAGATGGGAGTTGCTGGTTTAGAAGGGGCACAACACCTAAATTAGCAGCCTTCGATGGCAAAACATGCGCTATATTAATTTCTGAGTCAGCACAAGATTGTTACAGGAAAAATCAATTTGTTATTTCAGTCTCAGGGCAGGAATAACCCCTGCCACTTTCCGATTCTTAAAATCTCTTCCCCCTACTCTTCCCACTCTCCCCCCCACTACTCGTTCCCTCTCTTCCCCCTCTCTTCCCCATCTCTTCCCCATCTCTTCCCCATCTCTTACCCTCCCCCTCGCTTCCCCCAAACGACCCACCTCTTTTCCGCCACCTCCACCGGAAGCATGTCATCCAGGTCCGGTTGGCACAGGGGGGCATCCGCGGACGACGATGGGGGGAACGGCGCGGCGGGCGCGGAGTTGGCGGAAGGGGAGGTGGGCGGAGAAGCGCTCGGGGAGGCGGAGCCGTCACTGGATCCCCCACCCGCGCCCTTCTTCTTGCGCTTTTTCTGCAAAAAAACCGCCAAGGAAGCAGGGGACAAAGGAGAAATATAAAAGTTTAAACAAATAAACGACAATGTTTGAAATTGACAAGGCTCGGGTTTGCGGAAAGTGGACGAAATGCGTTCTAAAGCCGGCCGGCAACAAGCTCTCTCCGTCCTGATCCCACCTGCTTTTTCTTCTTCTTTTTCCCCGTTCCGTTCGCCGTCTCCCCTCCTCCTTCCTTGGACTCGCCACTGGAACCCTCCTGTTGTCCGTCCGACACCCCTCCCGCATCCTCCTCGTCCTCCTCATCGTCCGATCCCGCGTCGGCCGCCTTGGGATCCTGAGTTTCCGGCTCTGCTTCCAGTGTGCCACCACGACCGTCGCTCATGGCTGCCGAGCGATTATTATACCCACGGCGATTAAAACAGGACAGGGACTTCCAGGCCTAAGCAACGATTTATAAAAGGGCAAATATGAGAGTTTTTTTGCCGCTGTAACTTATCCCTAGCAGAAGAGGCGTTGTGAATACGGTGAAGCTTGCGCAATGACGAGCGATATAAGGGTGCCCGTTGTAGAATAACCACCAGCGAACACTGGATGAAGGAACAACGCAATGGTGGTTTGGGGTAGGCTGGGGGGGGGGTAGCAGCCAATGAATGTCAAATGAAATGTTTTTGCGACACAATTTCTGATCACGTTTCATCGGAATTTCTTGTGATGTTAATCCTTACTATTTTCCCGATTTCCTTAACCAGATGATCGATTTCTCTTTAACGAGGTCTAGAGCTTCAGCGGTGCCAGGCAGAGGCGCCTGCGCGCAAACTTTGCCATTCGCTCCGCACCCCAACTAAGGCTTCCCGCCCACAGCTGTCGGGCCCCTGACACACAGGGCGACACCACACCGAACTGTAGCACAAGCGCTGAAACGCGCTTGGCACATTTTAGGGCGCGGAAGGGGAATGTTTGCGCCGAACAGTTCAGCGGCAGGAGCCCCACAGCCAGATTCCAGGGGGGGCTGGGATGCGGAACAGATGTCTCCTGGCGAAATTCTCCAGGTTTTCCTCTGCATCTGCTTCATGGTCCCAAGAGATCTCCTCTCTTGCCAATCAAGCATCACTTGTGTTCTATTTTCTTTTCAGGCTGCTTAGCATTTGGGCCGCTTAGTGTGCTAGTCTTCTGCTTCTCAGGGATATCAAGGCATACGAAGCTTCCGTGCTTTCGTGTTCTCTATCGACTCTGAGCGAAGTCGCCATGGGTCAGCTCATCTATTCTTTCGTGGCCAGGGGCACGGTAGTTCTCGCTGAATATACCTCTTTCAAGGGCAACTTTAACACCATCGCCCTTCAGTGCCTGGAGAAGATGCCACAAGAAAATAACAAGTTTACGTTCCCCCATGGTGGCCACACACTAAACTATCTCCTGGAGAACGGATATGGTACGGATATGGATCTACGGTAGATGAAATTAGCACATGTGTTTCCTCCGTGGTCTTAACGTGCGAATTGTGAATCTGCAGCCTATATGGTCCTTGCGGACCAAGACGTCACCCGGCAAATCATATTCGCCTTTCTGGAGCGTATCAAGGATGACTTCAACGCCAGATATGCTAGCAAGGCTGCGAATCTTGGAGCCCATGCCTTGAACAAGGAGTTTGGGTGAGCTTTTCCACTTTTACCGCTATGGCTTTTATGCTTATCGTTTCCTTCTAGATTTGAATGACTGATTCGTACATTCAGGCCGAAGCTGAAGGAGCACATGAAGTACGTGGCCGAGCACCCTGAGGAAATGAGCAAGTTCGCCAAGATTAAGGCACAAGTGGCTGAAGTTAAGGGCGTGATGAAGGATAACATTGAAAAGGTGAGAGCCACTTTCATTCATGGATTTCCGGAACCCGTAGCATTGTGCGCCGTTCTTACCAGCTACCTTGGTGTTTCAGGTTTTGCAACGAGGCGAGAAGATGGAGCTTCTAGCGGAGAAGGCCGACGTTCTGTCGACTCAGGTAGGGTCGAAGTTTTGAAAGCTTGCTCTTAAGGTATGTGTAACGTTGCATCTTCTGACTCAAGCACTGCTGTACTGGTTTGTGCAGGCTAGCCAATTTAAGAAGCAAGGCACCGAGATTAAGAAAAAGATGTGGTGGGAGAACATGAAGGTGAAGGCTGTTGTAATTGGCATTTTGGTGGTGCTCGCTTTGATCATTTGGCTCTCCATCTGCCATGGATTCACTTGCCAATGAGAAGCGGTTTGAGGCTGACTGTACATTAGCAGAATATGTTTCAGCTGAGCATTAACCTAGTGCTCATTTTGCTTTCTCTAGAGCATAGCAGCTTATCGTATTTGGTCTTTCTATTGAATTATGACATACTCATACCGTAGTCAAGTACTTCACGCCCAGTCAATCATATTGGAGAACACATTAGTATTCGGACGCTCTGCACTACTGGTTTGGCATGGATCCAACAAAAGAACTGCAAGTCTAGAAGCCAGTGCATGAAAAGCCAACATCCATTCCTCCAACATACTGCAGGTGGCTAACAAAAGCATGTAACCTTATGCATGTTAGGGTAAGTGGGTTCATATTTTATCAGCCTTATGTACAATAGCCTCATGAACGACGCATGCGCTTCGCTTTCTGCTCCTCGGAAAATTGCTCGACATCGTGAGCAGTAATCACATGGTCAGTACCTGCAAATTTTGCCTGCAAAGGAAACAATAACGAGGTGAGAAGAGGGATAGAGGGAGAGGAGGGGAATGGAGGGGAGGGAGGGAGTTGAGGGGAAGGGAGGGGAGGGAGGGAGTTGAGGGGAAGGGAGGGTAGGGAGGGAGTTGAGGGGAAGGGAGGGGAGGGAGGGGAGGGAGGAAAAAAATTGGGACTAAGGGAAGAACGGAAGAGGATTGAGAGAGGGGGGGTTGGAGGGGGATGCTATGGCGACAAGTGGCTTTGAACTGCTGACAGACCTTGCCAGAGAAGAAAATGTTAAGCTCTAGTGGCATTCTGGTGTTCAGACTTACCAAAAACTCCTGAAAATCGGACTTGAAGCTGTTCAGGCCATGAATGATTTCCAACTGGGCAACCCGGTCCATGCTCTGAAACTGAGCTTCAACCTGTACACTAGCTTCCTCCTCCTTTTGTTGCCGTTTCTTCTTCGCTTCTTCCTCATAGAATTCGACAGTATCCTCGACATCAACAAGGAAGTCCACCCCTTGCTCCTCGTAGAACCTGAAGAGAGCGGCAGCAACATGAAATGTGTGAGGCCCTAGATATGAATTAAAATCAAGAGCATAACTCCTGATCAAAGCCACACCTGGTGCATTCTTGGCAGTTGCAGATGGAGGCCCTCCACCTTATGAGAAAAAGAGGACCGACTTCGAAATCATCTGAACCTGCAAGGGCGTCGGCGTCTGCAACTGCACTAGTTGCCTCTACTGAACCATCAGTGACATTTGGACCCGTTGTCAAGTGTTCAACCTTCAAGGTACTTGTTGAAACACCCACAGTTTTCTTTTTGAGAAAAGAGCTTAAAGTTCGCCCCCTCAAAACAGAGGCTAGCTTGCAATCTGCTTCACTGTCTGTGGCTGTAGTACCAGGACCAGGACGTACATCAAGAGCGCCTTCATGAGATGAGCAAGAGTGCTGCTGAGGTTTGACAGCATCCACATTCTCAGCATGATGTCCACGAGCGGCTACTGCATCATCCCATACTTTGATGCCTGAAACTTCAATACTTGCTTCGTCCCCATTGGCATCCGCCTCCTCTTTGCCCACCACTTGAATTTTGTTTTCATTCCCACATAAAGGAACGTCACCAGCACGTTCTGGAGCTAGCAAGAGCTGAGGATACAACTTCAAGAAACGGCACTTCAAGGAGGCGCAGTGGTCACATATCAAATTCGAGAAATCTTCAGGGGCCTGCAAAAAAACAGAAGTTTCGATATAATGTATGCTGGACAAGCCAGAAAAAACAACGGGTTTCTAAGGCATACCTCAAACCCGGGCTCAAGGCCCAGATGATGCTCATGGAACCAATCTTCGCACACAACACATTGTATCATGTCCGTTTCTCCGCCTCCAGCTTCGTCCTCTGGATCAGGATATGGCCTTCGACAGTTGCAGTATACACCCGCATAATTCTGGTTGTACTCGTTGTGCTCGTTCAAAGGATCTTTGTCAGGTTTCAGCTGGCATGAAGGAGCAACCGACCCGTGAAACTTGGATGTGCCGCAGTCACACCGGAACCGACGCTTCGTATAGAGCTCCACAAGCTAACACATGGGGGGAAAATGGCAAGGGATGAGATGTATGCGTGAGGGACGGAGCTGCAGAAAAAGTGCTTCCCGGAGAGGCAGAGGTGTGGAATCGACGTGATGAAACGATCAGTACCTCATGCCCATCATGACACTTCAGTGAGCATGAAGTGCAAATTCCCGCCGGCTTCCAGTCATCAGACACTATGTCTCTTGAGTCCGCACGACTGCTTCCTCCACTCTTTCCATCACTTTCTTCAGTTTCCTTGGACGGAGTTGAAATTTTGGGCGGAGGCACGCACGTAAGGCAGGAATAGAGAGCCTGTCGCTTACGGTAGCCCATGTCGTATGTGCACTTGTCGGGATCATCCGCACCGAGCACCGCGAACGCTTCCTGTGGCAGGCATAACGTTCATGCGCCGTGCGCCCAACATGGGTTTACGGATCACACGAAACTGAGGATTTGTACAAGTCTACTACGAGAATACCGTAAGACTGCTATGTGAAGCAGAGCTAGTGAAAGAGAAATGAGAAATGTGTGAGGACACGGACCTCGACTCTCTCCTCATACTCGTCTGCCGTCATCGCCTCCTCCTCCTCCTCAAATATATCCGCCATGGAAAGCGCGGCGTAAAAAACGCAAGAACAAGATGCAAGCAAGCGAAGATCAGAAAGCCAGAGTGCCAAGCCTGTCACAGAATGGCAGGAGCAATCAGCCTGGATGACAGAAGCCAAATTCCTTGCCTGCATGAAGCAGCTGGATGTTTTTGGTGGGCATTGCCCGGAAACCGCAGCACAGAAAATGAACGCGGGAGTCGTTGACAGCCGTCGATTAAAAACGAATGTTTGTATTTCACGGTTGGGATGTACCTTAAAGCTACAATCGCGTACATCGCTACACGTTCACAAAGTTCTACAAATGACAACAGTTATGTCATGTGCTTGCATTGTTGAACAAACTCCAGCCAAATGTGCACTTCCTTGCATTCACGGATCAATTTTCCAGCGATTCATCAATTTCGCCAGTGCCCTCCAGCTATTGGTGTAATGGACACTCTGCCCATTCGCGTCCCCACAAGCGATTCCGTCCGTTCATCGCCACCACGGTACCGCATCGCATGCGCTTTCGCGCCGAAGAAGGTGCGATCCTTCCTGACGCCGTCGCTGATCGCCGCATGCTTCTCGAAGGGCATCGAAATCGTCCCCGTTGATCCTTCCCGAAGCCTTCTGGAGTACCGGAGTAGTAGCGAGGAAAACGAGCTCGCCACAGATGTCCCGCAAAAACCGCCGTTTGATGCGGTAGTGCATAAGGTGCTCACGGCCGAATGGGCTGATCAGCTGCGGATCTTAGCTGAACAATTTCCCACTTTCGCTGGGCGAATTGTCGACCCGACAGAGAGAATCGCTCGCGTGTGTAATCGCGCTTCTATGCTTCAAGGCCTGCTTCCTGATGCTGACACGTGTCAGGCCACTGAAATCTCGAAGCTGGCAGGAGAAGAGAAGGCAGCAGTGGGAGTGGAGGTGACGGGAGGTTGGCGAAATGGGGAAGGGGAAGAAGAGGGCCGGAAATGGGAGATAGTGCCTGGTTTCTTCGTATGTGTGCCTCAGCAGATGGTGCTTACTCTGAGTGAGCTAAGGCGGCTAGCAGGAGATCCCCAAGAAGGCCCCAGTGGCTCCTCGTATTTGCAAGACGTTTTACAGAGTCAGGGTCTATCTTGTCCTCTGGTGGCCAAGCCTGTGGAAGCTAATGGCAGCACTGCGTCCCATTCCCTCTCTCTTGTCTTCAACACTCACGGCCTCATGGCACTTGCTCATTCCCTTGAAGCCGTTCCAACCACTACCTCCCCAGCCTCCGCTGTTGATGCTGCTGCTGTCGCTCCTGATGCTGATACCATGGGTGCTTGTATCCCGGCTGTTGCCTCCGTATCTGCTCAGAAGCATGCAGACTGCAAGGAACCCTCAATAGTCTTGCAGCAATTCATAAACCACGGCAGCCGACTCACAAAGCTCTATGTCGTTGGCTCATCCGCGCGATGTGAGGTTCGCCCATCTCTTCCTGATGTAGCCCCTTCCCAATGCCAACCGGATGTTTCTCCTGGTTATCTACCCTTCTCCCATGTATCAAACGTTCCTGTACCTCAGCCTACTCACCTTCCAAACGCTGGCAGCAGCACAGACAGCAGCATGAACATGGGTACAGATGACCTTTGGCCTGGCCCTCTGCCAGATGGAGTGGCGGATGCTTTGGGAAAACACTTGCGGGAGCAGCTGGGGTTGAGACTTTTCAATGTCGACATTGTGAGGTCTGTTGCATGCCCCAACAGGTTCTTTATTATCGATGTCAACTACTTTCCGGGCTTTGCCAAGTTGCATGGGTATGAAGAATTGCTATCGGACTTTTTCCTGAGCCTACTGCAGAACAAATGAAATCAATATTACTTGAAACCTGCTAACTGTGCCAAGGCTGCTTTCCTGAAAAGATGTTGTGCAGCAGTGATGTTGCTGACTTGAGCTTCACAGCGTTTTCTTGTGTCACCTTTGCAGCTTAGCTTCATTGAGTGCTAGCCGCAGCAGCAGAGTATCATCAAGCGAAACATGGTTTTCAGATGGCTTCCACACAGGAAAGATGTGGGCACTGGGAGCTGCCGGGGTTTCAAGAAGCTGTGAGTGGGGAACAAGTAGAATGGATAACGGTACAAGGATGAAGAGGCAGGCCGGAGGGACAGGTTAGTACGGGTGAATGAATTCTGTGGACTGAAGTGACGATTACATGCCGTGAATTGGTAACAGTTGATGTGGGCATTATTGGCAAATAGACGTACTTGATAGCCCAGCTGGTGATATAGATGATGTGCTGCTGTGTTTGATGCATGCACATGAACATACACCTCTTCAGCACCTGAAGGGCACGCTCATACACACAGAAACACAAACACGGGCCACATGCATACCGGTAAATATGGAAGCAGAGGGAGTGTTGAGTACATGAACAGAAGCGGAGCATGGAAAAATACATATTGGCCCACACTTAACCCACCGTTTTTTTGTCGGTACCCCTTTATAACTCACCCCATTCTGCTGCAACGTCGGCTGCAGCACGCATGAGAGCTGCAGCAATTCCTTGTCGCCTGAATGTGTTTGATACGCACACATTTGATATGTACGCATAGTATGGTCGCTCCAACACCACTTGCCCTGAAGGTTCATGCTGCTGCTGCTGCTGCATCTGCTTTTGAAGTTCCTGTACTGCCATTGGAACTTCTTGTTTCTGCTCTTGTAATTGCTGCTCCATTGATGCACTTGGCTGCTTCTGTTGGACTGCCTGCTGCGACCGACTCTTCTCATTTTGCTGCAGAAGCATGGCTTCAGCTACCACTAAGCCCGTCAAATGACGAGCTCTCTCGTCACTCTCCTGCGCCGCTGCCTGCCATGCATCCTGAACAAGCCAGTAGAACAGGAAAGATAGTGCATCTCAACTACAAGAGTGCAGGTCACACATCAAGATCGGAAAGTGGAACCGAATGGGGAAAGCCTCAAATCTGTAAATCTATGAAGTATTTGAGATAGAAGTAAATCTTAATGTGGGATTGCGAAGTTACCTGGAGGTCAGAAATGGCGTTGTTGAGGAGAGAGGAGGCAGAGGCAGGCAAGCTGGAAGGGTACCGGCGAATTTCAGCTTGGATGCCGCTTACAGCCGATCCAATACCATTCACAGCTGACTGAATGCTGCTTGCAGCTGACCCAATGTCAACCACAGCTGACTGAATGTCGCTCACAGCAGCTTGCAGGCCGTTGGCCGTGGTGGAAAGAGCAGTGAGGGCGGAGGAAGGCAGAGATACCAAGAAGCTGGAGGACTCGCGAGGGCGCTCGACCTGAAAGCAAGAGGGCAAGGACGAGCAGCAGTGGCTCAGGTGAGTTCAAGGTATGCACCATGGGGCCATGAAGGGAGGACAAATCAGGGACGCATGCTCATGTAATGGCTTTCAGGTACTGCAGGAAACCAGTTCAGACGGTTTCAAAAGTAATTAGCTCACCCCTGGAAATATCTCATTAGACCCCATTCGTCTTAGGCTGATGTCAAGAGTACCCACAACTCTCTCCAACTCAGTTATTTTCTGCCTCGCTTTAACCCCTTTGGCTGCAGCCCCTCCTGCAGCATTTCTAGCTGCTACACCTGCACCCTGCCTTCCATTTGGCACACTGACAGTCTCCCTCTCCGCTCCTGCGTCCTCCAACCTATGTTCCAGAGCCGCAACTTCTTTGTCTGGTTGTGCTACTTCAGCAAGCCTTATTACGGAGCCATTCGTGTGAATGGTGAACGGCTGCTTGTCACTGTCGTCTAGTTGGGCCTGCATGGCAGCAAGGCAGACGCAGCGGATAGATTGACCCGTGGTCCCGTTGATGCGTCGTTTCATCGAGTGGAATTCCTGGGAGGCGAGAGACAGAAAGAGGCAGAATGAGCAACAATGGGCGAAGGCAGGGATCGAGCATCAGAGAAAGGCAGAGATGAGTCATATGGTGCAACAAGTCTAAGCTTCATGGAGTCGAAAAATGTTGCGTTGCTTCCAACTGACACTTGGACTGCAAGGCTATTTATTCTTCTACATCGTACCTGTTCAGTGAATCGTTTTTTGAAGCTGTCCACGAACCTGTGTGTAAACAATGTGACGAACAACATGGCAGAAATCCTTGCTAAGAATTCAAGGATGTGAACACTAGGCAGTCCAATCCTTGTGACAACTAGCGCAATCAGGAGCAAAAGGAGCTAGGAGCTGCTATTAACCCTTTAAACGAGCAGCTCAGGCAATGCCACGCGCCTTTACGTTTCGCACGACAGACGAGTGATGGTATCACCACCCAAGCTACAGATTTCATCTTCTGGGTGAAGACCTGTCAAACATACACAGAGCACGCCTTCTCTCACCTCACATGCGGTTCCGTTTCACATAAGGCATCTGCTCGAAGCGCCGCTGCTGCCTGGCAGCATCAGGGTAAACGAAGGGAACGTGAGCATTTGTAAGATGAAGTAACACCAGCAAAATGCGGAAGCAGAATGTTACGACGAGATGGATGACTGCTGTCACCGCGCGTCTACCCTTACAAGCAGCCATACCCAGAGTTGTGGATCCTCCGTCACGCGAACAACTTCAAATTTGCGATAAGTTGACAAATTGACGGCATTGTCAGGCGAAGGGACAGACACTGCTATCTCTTCAGCCTTCTCCACTCGCTCGCTGCTGGTTGGTACTTGCTCTATCTGACCAGCTGTCGCTGCTGCTTCGCGGTCCGCGTTGACTACCGCTCGCAGTACGTGGGAGGCACGAGCTGGAGCCAGAAGAGGATCATGCCGCGAGCGCGCGGCTGACTCGACCTGACGCCTACATGGTCGCGGTCCGCGGTGTTCTATCTGTCCGGGGTTTATATGTAATTCGGGAGACACATTGGTGCCGCCGAGAGCTGAAACACAAGGTGATGGAGGAACAGCAGCAACAAGAACAGCAATTGACAGTACAGGCATGACGGGAAAATGTGTCAAGCCCCTGGTTTCAGCTGGAAGTCAGGACGGAAGGACAAGACGTTTGTGCAGTCAGAGCGGCTTTGCCAGTTTTGTGGTCCCTTGGCGTTCCAAAGAAGCCTATCACGTCTTGCAGAAGGCCGTGTGTTGCTGCAGGTGGCCAAGGTGAATGCAAAACTGCTTTCTGCAACGCTTCTCTCATGCCATTTCAGCAAAATTACTCGCTGGATGATCTCAAGGTGATAACTTCGAGGGAGGGGAGAGAAGGGGCAGGTCTGTGTCCTGAAACAGATGTTTCGATTATGTCGATTGTAGCAGATCGAGGAAACGTTATTTCCAGTCATCGACGGTAAGAATTGTTTGACGGACTGTGCTGACATTTTGGACGGATAGATGTAGATGTTGTTTCTGTGAACACTGGACAGAAGAAAGAGTCGGGCAGTTGTTTTCTGGGTGGCAATTTGGCAAAACGCTGCTGACGTGCATATGTTCGTTGAGAAGGCCCCTCGCGTCAGCTAAACCCAACATCCACCTCAGACGAAAAAATTGTGGCTGGAGATGGATCAATCAGCGCAGCGCTATGTGGAACACGAAAAATAACATGGAATTATTACACACTGCATCTTATACATTACTAGAGACTATATTAATGCCCATATTTTGCTGAGACAACTGTGGTATTCTAAAGCATCACTTTTAGACCCTGCAAGGCGATGTATGACCTCCAATTATCAATGACTTCTTTCGGGCTTGGCACCATTCCATCCAACGGGTACTTCATCCCTAATGCTTCCCACTGCACAGTGCACAAACACGAAAGATGTAAAAAATAAGATGGCAACAAACAATGCACCACCAAATGCTATGTACAGTGGTACAGCTGAGTCGTACCTTGTTGACCCCTAGTCTGTGATATGGAAGCATTTCAATCCCAGCCAACGTTGGCTGCTGCTTCGCCCATTCGACAAGGCCCTCCACCTCCTCCTTTGTGTCAGTCATGCCTGGGACCAGAACAAAGCGTATGACCATAGGGACGCCATAATCTCCCACTGCTTTTGCGAAGTCCAGAAACAGCTGCTGCTTCACTTGTACCATGTCAAAGTAGAGCTTCGGGTTCACTGCCTTGGTGCACAGGAGAACAGTGTCAGTGTGTGGAAGAACTTCAGCCCAGTCCTTGGCTCTGCCGTATCCTGCATTTGGCAGAACGATGAGTTCAATACAGGGAGCATCAGCAACTCATGCCAACACTACGAAGGGAAGCGTGAAAACTGGCTAAACAAGCTCAACCATACTGCGGTGCAGCCCGACGTTACCTGCTGTGTCGAGTGCTGTTGTTATTCCTAGTCGGTGGGCCTCCTTGAAAACGGCACTGCAGAAGTGAGGCTGCATCATTGGCTCCCCTCCTGAAATAGTCACCCCACCACCGCCTTTATAGTACGCCAAGTTTTTCTTCAACCGTGCAGCAATGTCTTTGGAAGATAACCGTTGGGACTTGGCTGTCACACTGCAAATGGAAAGCGACGGACGGCTTACAGCATGAGGACGCTATACAGCGGTACCGAGTAGGCAGCGAAGAGTACAGGATACTCACCTCCATGTATCTGGGTTGGCACAGAACACACAGCGCCTTGGACATCCCTGTGTCCATGCAACACAGTGAATTCATCGATTCTGGTTTGTTCGATAACATGCAGAATATGGGCAAGAACAGGAAGGGAGTAACAGCTGCTTACCTGCACAAAGACCACGGATCTAATGGCAGGTCCGTCCACTGCTGAGAAGGACTCGATCGAATGGACCCGACCCCATACTTCAGGGATAACCGGATCAATGTAACCCTTAGGCACCACTCCTGGGGACATGTCTGGGAGGACTTTGTGATTTTCAATCAGCTCAGGTACTTCAAAAACTCTTGTGGGTGTAGTAGATGTCACGCCCTCTGCTACTCGTTTCACCGTCGGATTCTGCACTCCGCAGGCCTTAGCAGCAACTTTGACGGACTCTGGTAGGCTGCCGTCTGCTTTTGGCATCAAAGGCCGAAGCCTCGGTTTTGATCCCGCAGATGGCTTTGAACTAGCCGGTTCCTGAAAACGAGCAGCATGGCGCGGTCAAAGTTGGATTCTTTACTGAAACTTCAACCCACATTCACATCGCAGCAAAGCTAACCTGTGAAGCACTAAGAGGAGGGATTCTGGTAGCTTCGTCGTCTTTGCCCCCTGCACAATACCTCACTAAAATCAGTATCATAATCTGATCAAGACTTTGAAGAGCAGAAGTCGCAGCATACCTAACGGAGCCGTAGTTAACTGTCTCTCTAGAAGCCAGGCATATCTGGACGTCCCAGGTCTTAGCCAGTCCTGCGAGTATAACAATGATATCCTGAATTAGTAAGTTGTGCAGCCTGATCGCGAATGCTACGTGCCCCTAATACACACCTGCTTTCTTGCACGAAGAAGAAGAGAAACTAATCTGGTCGCCATGACTACAGTTAATGGCTGGTTCGGAGAGTGATCCCCAGTTAACAAGCACCGACCAAGCTCATCTGAGAGAACCTGCCAATGCCACCTCCTAAGATCGAGCGATGTTTCGGAGACAGCGAGCGTGCATTCACTGATTCTTCGAAATATCACACAGGAATATTAGATACATGTACTAGCGGTTGTTTCGCGGGCCTGTACGTGAAGTAGGAGGATATAGGGTAGGGAGGAACTGAAGACATCAGAGGCACGAAAACGGGCAAAAACACTTGCTCTTGTGTCCAGGGCAGCAGCCTTGACGGCTAGCTGGTCATCGTCCAAGAAGCGGAGAAGCCCGTTGGTTGGTCCCCCCCTGTCCAATGTTTGTCAGGTTCCGGGAATCTTGGGAGCACATGACGATTTGGAACTTAGGAACTAAGTGCAGGAGTGTAATTGTTCGCTGCAGACTCGATACGAGAACTTCGTTATGGATGTGGGGCATATCAGTCAACTCCCCACAGTTATCATAGTATGCACTCTAAGCCAGTAGTCCACCTGCTAACCACGTTTAGCAGATTGTCGCTTCCTGGCTGGTGGATTCAAATAAGTCAGGTAATGTCAAGTTGCAAGAGCACCAGCTGTGCCAGCTGCTATGAATACAGGTTCATCAGCAACATGACTGAAACAAGCACCCACTGCAATTAGGTAAGTGATTTATCTCATGATTTACTTTGTTGCTGACGCAAGCTCCGTGTTATTGGGGTTTCACCATGTACATACCCTTCTTCTTGTCCACCATCCTGATAGAAGCACAAACAAAGGCACAATGGGGCATGAAAGGGGCCAGGATTCAGGCATCTCACTGTCTACGCTAAATTTAGCAAGCTGTACACATTGACAGACCTCTCAAACTACTAGTATGGCTTAACAATAGAGCTTCACTTACAGTTTTCCCATGGCAAAGAGGTGTCGGCCGGCCTCATTGCAGACTGTGCCATCAGCATCCAGAGTGTACCGAGCACCAGGAGTGTCCGGAAATCCCCTCTTCATCAAAGTAACAAGGTCCTTCTTGTGCAGCTCTCTCCCATTCACAAACACCTTAGTCTTGCCTCCGGAACAATCAGTCTGCATCGGCTGCATGCCGAACTCCCTCATAAAAGCCTGTTGGGGAACAAGCAAACGGAGGGAGAACAGGATCTACATTTGGGCATCGCGGCAGAAAACAGCACGGCAAACTAGCCCAGAATGAGGTAGTGACTTTCGCCTGCTGCTGTGGCACATCCCCTTTTCAACCACCCACTCACAGGCCCCTAACTCTCCTCACGCAGGCCCTCAGATTTCAGCCCTGTTACGCTGATTCAACCTCTGTTCAGCTTTGTTTTTTCTACCAAGGTTGATTTATCAGACAATTATCAGGGAATTACAGTTACGTTCTTGTGTAAATTTGCAGTTTTGGCTTCCTTTCACCTCAAATTCGCCTGCGACTTTCATTTGCCTGGTCAGACGCCAAGCAGCAACTCACCGGAGTAACTCCGAATGCTGGCCCTCCGACAGGGCCCCAAAATCCAGCTCGACAGTCGTACCTGGAACGTGGCACGAAGAGCGAAATAAAAGGTGGAGGAAAACAAGATCGGGTGAAAAGAATGAGAAGGCAATGCACGAACACATGTCAGTCCTCCATTGGGCACGCAAACAGGAAAAACCACAAGAAGCGTGTTGTACCCTAGACTCAGCACACAACAGACACCCATCCTGTTTTAAAGAAAGCAGTGCACAACATACCAGTAGCTGCCTGGCTCAATCGTTCCAATCCGCCTCTCAGCCAGGAACACAAGCTTGTCAGGCACGGGCTGCCCGTTCATATACACCTTGCGCCGGTACTGCCCCTCGCCGCCCAGCGTTGAGCTTCTAGGCGCCACCGTCATCGCATCTGCCCGCCCAGGCGGCCCACTGTACTCCGTGGCTGTGCGCCTGAAGGGCAGGTCTGCAGGCGCTCCCATCCCCGCACCCCCGTGCTGCTGCTGCTGCATCTGGTGCTCGTTGAGAGACGCGCTTCTAAAGCCGATAGACGACGCCAGGGTCTTTCCTGGGCCTGTAAGGTACCGTCTGGTGGCAGCTTGTGGGTCCATGGGGGGCTGTGGCGGCTGCTTGGGGAACCGTTTCCCCGACCCTTGCCTTGGCAGGCCCTCCTCGCTCTCCAGGTGGCCCCCTATGCTTCCTCCAGAAAGAGGAGGTCTGAGTGCTTGATGCCCGTATGCTACCTTGCCCATGTGAGTGCGACCCTGCATGGGGCTCTGCTGCTGGTACGGGTGGAGTGGCTGTTGTTGCTGCGGAGGGCCTGAGTTTTGATGGTACATGGGCATGGAGGGTGAGTGGTTCTGGGATAGAGGGCTAGCTGCAAAGCCTGACGCCTGCACGGGAGATTGAGAGGCATGTGGGGGCACGAGATGACCCATCTGCTGCTGCCCTTGACCCTGTCCCTGGTGCATCACCTGCTGCTGCATCTGCTGTTGAATGGGCTGATTCTGCATCTGCTGGAATTGCATGTGCTGCTGCTGCTGGTGAGGGTGCTGCAGCTGCTGTTGCTGCTGCTGCTGAGGCATAAACCCTCCAGGCCCAGCCATGCCTGGCTGTGCGAAGTTGGCATACTGCTGCTGCGCTCCTCCGGCCATCTGTTGCTGGAATTGAGGTACCGCCTGCTGCTGTTGTGGAGGGTGCATATGCCCAGGTGCATGAGCCTGCTGCTGATACACCTGCCCCATCCCCTGCTGCCCCATGCCCTGCTGCCCCATCCCCTGCTGCACCATGCCCTGCTGCGCAATACCCTGCTGCCCCATGCCTTGCTGCCCCATGCCCTGTTGCCCCATGCCTTGCTGCCCCATGCCCTGTTGCCCCATGCCCTGTTGCCCCAAGCTCTGCTGCATCCCTCCCTGCAGGCCCATCCCCTGTGGCATCTGAGGCGCCATAGCGTACGGCTGCTGACTGAACGACTCACCCATGCTCAACCCGCCCATCTGCTGCACCAGCCCCTGCGAACCCTGTCCATAACCCTGCTGCGCTGCATGCTGCTGCTGCTGCTGCTGCATGAGCTGCGGGGAAGGCAGCCGCGCCTGCTGCGGCTGCACGGGACCCACGCCCTGAGGCTGTTGGAACTGCGGCTGTTGCTGGTAAGCCTGGAGGGCTACACCTTGCGGTGACTGCTGCAGCCACTTCTCCTCCAGCACCGCCTGCCCTTGCTGCTGCTGCTGCGGCGGCGGCTGCGGCTGCACAGACAGAGGTTGCTGGCCCGCACCACGCGAAACAGCTACAGAGGGCGGACCGGGGAGAGGGCCGGAGGCGGAAAGGGGCATGAGCACGGGAACGCCGCCGGCGGGAGGGACGAAGACGGAGAACTTGGAGATTTTGAGGCACTTTCCGCAACGCAGCTTCTGAACTCCGTCTCTCGGCTCCAGTTTTGGCGGGACGGCGAGCATCTGGGAGCACCACTGGCACTGCGATGGGACGAGGCCGGAGATTGAAAACATGTGTGGGATGTGGACGACGAAGCGAGAGGTGGATTAAGGGAGCGATGCAAGGAGCAATAGATGATGATGATTTCTCCGTAAGTTGCACAATCACACGCGTTAATCGACTTACCCGCACAACAGGCCGGCCTGACTTTGACAGTAGCGGCTGCGGAACGGTAGCCGCTTCGCCTGGAACCGCCTGCGCCTGAGCCTGAATCGGAGGAAGCTGCTGCTGCTGCTGCGCCGGCTCGCGGAACTCCGGACCCTCTTGTGCCGCGATAACCCCGCCTGAGTTTCCCCCGTGCGAGGGGACGCCAGATGGGGAATCGACCTCCACGTGCAGGTGCTTCGCCTTGTGCGCCGCTAGCACGCGCTGGGCCGCGAGGCTGGTGTTGGGATCCACGTGCATGGATCCCCGCTGGCCCTGAGCGGGTGTCTCGTGCACCCCATGCTGCATGCTGTGCTGCTGGGCTCCAACTTGCATTCCTTGTGGGAAAGATTGAGATTGGTTTTGCGGAATGTGATTTTGGTCAGGAGCCTGTCGGCCGTCCCAGGCGTCGGGTGGCGTCATGTGGGAGTTCGACAGACTTCCAGTTCGAGGGGGGAAGGCAGAGTTGGAGTTAGGCATCGGTGATTGTTGTTGGGTGGATGCGGAATGCATTCCCTGCGGGGTTGATAGTCTGTGTGGGTGTCCATCGGGGTGATAGCCATTACCAGAAATGTAAGGATCTTGCTGAGGTCGTATCTTCCTACCTGGTGGTTGGAGGCTAGCCATTTTGCAATAAGAGAAAGGTCTATGTTAAGGGAAAAAGGGAAAGATACATTAATCCCTAGATGTTTTACAGATCAAGGTGCGCGAGCTTCCGTGATCCCATTTCAAATGAGTACGCCCTTATCGTTGATGATCCTTTCAGCAATCCCGTGGATGAAATGAAACGCGTCGCCGACCTAAAACAGACACGCTTGGCTGTAGGTACCTAAGGATGTGTCATTGCGTACTACCCCGTCTCAAAAACTTGTATAATCAGGAATATGCCAGCAGATTCCGCGATGACAAATGACGATGCACCATAGCTAAGTGCTCCAGATCACTTCTCGAAAAGATTGAGTGCACTGGAAGTGAGGAGAGTGAAAATGGTTGGTGAAAGGAGAAAGAACAGAAATGGGTGGGAGGGCACTGGGGGGAGTGCTGCTTCTGCTGCTGGTGCTGCTGCTGTCAATACTTTCTGTTTATGCCGAGCCAGTGGGCGCTGTTCCTTTTGTCGCAAGCAAATGCATAGGCCGGCCAAGGTCCTGCGAGGCTCGGCAGGAGCCAGAGTTGACAGAAGGGAAACGAGCCAAAATCAATGTTGTGACTTAGCGCAAAAATCTGGGAAGTTCGAGGTTCGTCAGCAAGGTGTGCTCGAGGCCCACTGTTCGTCAGCGAAACGGATTTTTGCAATAGGTCTGCGAGAGAGAATTGCTCGAGTGCCTTGTTTGGTGATTCGCTCTTGCCCACGTGTCCCCGAATTGCTCGAGTGGCCATCCAGTTCAGTGATAATTGCTCGAGTGGCCATGCCAGGGCATTTTCGAGGTATTTTTTTTCCCTGGCACATAACCCTACAAGGGTTCGTACCCCCGAAATTCCTCGTTCACACAATAGTAGATGCGCGGTCATTTTCGGCCCAATGCGCGACCAATGAGCGCGTGGGCAATTACATCAGCGATCATAAACTGCAACGCCAGAGCATAAATGCACGAACATATTATTGACCGCGCACGATTGGTCGATAATATGCTTCTTGCCCTTTTTGGCAATGCGCGTCCAATCACGCACGGTCATATAATTCACGAACATATATTTAAGCAATAAAGGGTCGCCCAAAAACCAATATGAGCGCGCATATACTACCATTAGTTCTATCATATGTCAGGTCTATATAAAACTATGTATGTCAAATGCCATAAATACATTATCTGCTATTAATTTAAGCACATCATATTAGACATAATATTTTATCGTGGCCTATCATAATATTAATTGAAGCCCATCATACGGTGGTCCATAATATTGTATTGCCGGTAATATGGTTGCATAAATCATACGTTCGGCAGCATAATATTAATTTAAGCCCAGCATAATATGCTGCCACCACGGTTATGATGGGATTAAATTGATAGCAGAGAATATATTTATGGCATTTGATATACATGGTTTTATATGGACCGGAAATATGATAGAACTTATGGTAGTATATGCGCACTCATATTGGTTGTTGGGCGACCCTTTATCGCCTAAATATATGGTCGTGAATTATATGACCGTGCGTGATTGGACGCGCATTGCCAAAAAGGGCAAGAAGCATATTATCGACGAGTCGTGCGCGGTCAATAATATGTTCGTGCATTTATGCTCTGGCGTTGCAGTTTATGATCGCTGATGTAATTGCCCACGCGCTCATTGGTCGCGCATCGGGCCGAAAATGACCGCGCATCTACTATTGTGCGAACGAGGAATTTCGGGGGTACGAACCCTTGTAGGGTTATGTGCCAGGGAAAAAAACACCTCGAAAATGCCCTAGCATGGCCACTCGAGCAATTATCACTGAATTGGATGGCCACTCGAGCAATTCGGTGACACGTGGGCAAGAGCGAATCACCAAACAAGGCACTGGAGCAATTCTCTCGGTCTGCGACGATTTGGTGAAAGCCGTTACAGATGCGAAGAAACGTCAACCGACATTTGGGGGAAATAGAAGGGGCTGCAGGCAATGCGAGATTTTGTACATTACCACACGCTTCACTGTTTGATTTAGGGTGCTCCTGTCAAACGTTATTTCTTCTGCTTGACCTTGATCTCCTACACAGCTTTCATAAATAAGCCATCCTTCTTGTCATCCTCCAACCTGCACAAAACAAAAATAAATTAGGCCCATATTTTGAACAAAAACTTGGGTGTCTCCCAACCAACCCTACAAACTTACAGGCTCCCAAGGTTAGCCGCCACTCGTCCAAACTCATTGACCAGAGTGCCATCCGCATCCAGCGTGTACCGGCCTCCCAATGTCTCGGGAAACCCCTTTTCTGCCAGGATCTTGACATCTTTTCGATGCAGCTCTCGTCCATTCACCAATATCTTGCTCTTACCGCCTGAGCAATCCATAAGCATGGGGGCATTGCCTAGCTCACGCATGAAAGCCTGAAATTGAATGAGGGGTAAGAATATGGTAAGTGACATGGCACGACAACAGATCCATACAGCATGCACCTAGAAATAAAAAATGCTCACAGGAATGACGCCCAACGACACATTCCCCACAGGCCCCCAGAATCCAGCTCTGCAGTCATACCTGCGTACACAAAGACAACAGCAGCCGCGCACAACTAACTGACTAGTGCTCAGGTTGTCCCATAAACAATGGAACCACAAAATAACAAACACAACTTTTTCTCACCAGTAATTCCCAGGCTCGATCTTCCCAATCCTCTGCTCTGCAACAAGCACCCTTTGGTCCGGCACAGGCACCCCATTCACAACCACCTTTCTCCGGTACTGCGCATCCCCACCCACACTCATTGTCCTGCTCCTTGGCATCAGCACTGCTGCTCCCCCTCCCACCCCCTTCGCACTCGCTCCCTTCCTATCTGTTGCTGTTCGCCGAAGCTCCACCCCCCCCCCCCTTCACCAGCACCATCGCCTGCCGTCCCTCCACCTGCTGCTCCTCCCTGTGACTGAGGAGCAGCACGAGAGGAAGGAACAGTAGCCAGCTTACCACCCGGACCCACAGTGACACGCCTTGTTGCCAGCATGTCTCGTGCCTGCCGCTGAAACCGCTTCCCTGATGCTGTTCTTGGGACTCCCTCCTCTCCGTTCTCATCTTCTCCAGCCGCTCTTGCCACTCCTCCTTCTGCTCCTCCTCCTGCCCCTCCTGCTGCTGCTGCTCCACTGGCAGGCATTCTGAGAGCAGGTGCAACGCCAGAGGCACTAGAGTCAGAACCACCACTGGACTTGCGGATGTGCTTGGCTGAAGGCTGAGCTTCGCCTGCTGCTCCCTGTGATGCTCTGCGGGGCAGGGACTGTTGAGCTGCCAGCCCCTGCTGCTGTTGCTGCAGCTGCTGCGCGTCCTGTTGACTGACAACACCAAGCTGACTGAAACTCCCTTGCCCAGCTCCTTGCCACTGCTGCTGCTGCTGCGGCTGCTGTTGCTGCCACTGCTGTAAATCTAGTTGCGGCATCTGCATCGGCATCTGCATCTGCATCTGCATCTGCATCTGGGACCGAGCCTGCTGCTGCAAGCCCGACTGCTGCTGCAACAATGGTTGCACGGTATCTTGCTGAGGTCTGACGGGCATATACTGGGGGTGCTGGTAGTAACCCCCACCTGGATACCCCTGACAGGGTTCACCTTCCTTTGGTAAACCCACATTGGATTCGCCTGTAACGGAAGTAGACACTTGCGGGATCATGGGCTGTTGCTGGTACTGTGACTGAATCTGCTGCCCCTGCCCCTGCTGCTGCTGCTGCTGCTGCTGCTGCTGCTGCTGCTGCTGCTGCTGCTGCTGCTGCTGCTGCTGCTGCTGCTGCTGCAGCTGGTACTGTTGCTGCTGAAACTGCTGCAGCTGCTGCTGTGGTGGCTGCTGCGGTCGATATGGCTGCATTGGCGCATGTGGCAACGTGTACAGTTGCTGAGGACGAGCATTGGATAGGGCCATGCCATTCAGCTGCTGCACCGCCCCATTCACAGCAGAAGGGGGCACACCATTTACCCACTGCTGCTGCTGCTGCTGCTGCCCCATGGGTCTCAACCCCCCACCATCCTGAATATGACCAAACTGCTGCTGCTGCAACAGCTGCTGCTGCAATGGCTGCTGCTGGGAAAGCTGCTGCGGTGGACTCATTCCCCCTGGAAAAGCACCTCCCTGTGGGAACCCTTGCTGCAGCATAGGCTGCATGCCTTGTGGCGCCATGCCATGGTAGGCTGGCGAGCCCGTGGCCAAGGATGCTGCTGCAATGGCTGCTCCTGTAATTGCAGCACTTGGAGCAGGGAATCGCGGTCCTGGCATGCCACCTGCGTGTACCTGCGTCGGCATCGGCACCTGCTGCTGCTGCTGCTGCAGGAACTGCTGTTGCTGCAATTCCCACTGCTGCTGCTGCTGCTGCGGCCGCTGCTGCCAATGTTGGTCCTCATCGTCGTTCCCAGCGACCTCCCCTTCTACCAGCGCCTGCTCGTTCCCCTGGGAAGCAAGTGCTGTCATCTGCTGCTGCAACTGATGCTCATGCTGCTGTTGCTGCTGCTGCTGCTGCTGTGCCTGCTGCTGCTGACTCAAAAACTGCTGCTGCTGCTGCTGCTCCAGAAGCTGCACCTTGGCCTGCGCACCACCCCCTTCTTGTGCGCTCTCAACAGGAATAAGGAGGGGCAGGCCGGGCATGTCGTGCGGTGGCAGAGTGACAGAGTACTTGGACACGCGCATGCACTTGCCGCACCGCAGCCTCTGCCTTCCCTCGTGTGACGGCTGTAGCTGCGCTGGCACTGCCAACATTTGGGCGCACCACTGGCACTGTATGTGGGAGATGGCGGGGTAAAGGAAGAAGGAAGAAGAAAGAAGAAAGAAGACAGGCCAGGCGTGTGGTGAGGCGGCAGAGTGACAGAGTACTTGGACACGCGCATGCACTTGCTGCACCGCAGCCTCTGCCTTCCCTTGTGAGACGGCTGCAGCTGCGCCGGCACTGCCAGCATCTGGGAGCACCACTGGCACTGCGTTTGAGCGACGGGAAGGGAGAAAGGAGAAAAGAAGGAAGAAAGAGGGAATTCGAATGATGAGACAATAGAATCTGTGCCGGCACTGCCAGCATCTGGGAGCACCACTGGCCCTGCGTGTGGGGGAGAGGAAGGGAGAAGGCGAAAGACACGGGGCGATTAGCACGTGACCGTGGGCAATACGGGAATGCCAGGTGGGGGTTTCTGGTTTCGGGGAGGTGGAATGGAGGGGGCACATGCAGGTGCAAAGGACGGACAAACAGCCTCTTACCCGAATGACCTGTCGGCCGGATTTGGAGATCAGGGGAGGATGGGCGGCCAGACGGGTTGCATATAGCGCTGCAGACAGGTACGGAGAGCAAAGGAACGAAGGACAAGCGAACTTCCTCTTACCCGAACGACCTGTCGGCCGGATTTGGAGATTAGGGGCGGGTGTACAGCCACCAGGGACGCATATAGTGCTGCAATTCCCCCCTCCACACCAGTCCCGCCCCCACCGTTGCCTCCTAGTTGAAGTCCTGCTGAAAAGCCTCCACCGGAAAATCCCCCCCCTGAAAAGCCCCCAACAATCCCCCCAGCACCATTTCCTCCTGAATGACCGAACCCCAAATGGCATCCATTAACATACTCTCCATAGCCCCCACCCGCACTGCCTTCCCCTCCTGCAGGCAACCCGACCTGTGCGCCAGCAGCAGCAGCAGCGGCAGCAGCAGCAGCGGTCACATCCCCCCCTGACTTCTTTCTCCTGTGCTGCTTCTGCTGCTTCGTTTTCGTCTGCTGTTCCTGCGGCTGCTCCTCCTGTTGCGGCTGCTGCTGCGGGTGAGAGTGTATCATGCTCCTACCTCCCACCGAACTTCCGCTGCTACCCCTGCTGCCACTGGTGCTGCTGGTGCTATCCTCGCTCGGCTGTCGCCTCCGTGCCTTCGCACCCGTCGCACGCGCCCTCTGTGCGACCACGCCCATCCGATCACTCCCCTCCTCTGCCTCCAGTTCCCCCAGCGACGCCCGCCGCACAACCCCCTGCGCGAGTTCCGCCTCAGAGCCCACGGACCCAACCGCGGCTGCTCCCGCGCGGGCTCTCCCCCTCCTAAGCGCAACCCCGCCCCTACCCGCTTCCGATTTGCTCCGCGGAAGCATCACGAGCTCCCCTGGCGGCGCCTGAATCGGAAGCCTCTCTGTCGGAAGGTTCCTATCGTTTCTCTCCCGCTCACCATCACATGACTCCCCTACGCTTTCCGCCAACGCCCTCTGCTGCCGCGCGTTCTGAGATACCCCATGGTTCAGAGGCTTTGACGTGTGCGGACCGGCAGTTACGGATTGCGAACTAGCGAAGGGAACAGCCGGCTGGTAACCAGGCTCGGCCGTTTCCTCTCCGTCTGCTAGAAGCGTCCACTCGTCTTGGGTCTTCTGCGTTGCCGACGGCTGCTGCAGCTGCACGTTGTAACCGTTTTGTAAGTAACCTCCCTGAAGTTGCGAGAAACTGCCAGGATGCATGTAACCGCCTGGCTGCATGTAACCATCCAGCTGTGCGGCCTCGTAAGGCTGAAGCGACGCGGCGCTCTGGCTCTTCTTCCGCCCTTTTTTCCCGCGTTTTCCTGCGCCGCTGCCGCCAGTTTGCCCCGAATCATCCGCCTGCCCCTCTGTGAGCGCACCAACGACCGCAAATTCCCCGCTATTGGGTGGAGAACGAGTCGTTTTCGCGCCCTGATTCTCCGGATCACGCAACGGTACCTCGCTACGCGTGTGCCGTCCGGCTTCCCTAGACTGAACCTGCTGCTGCTCTGCCTTGTGCTGCTGTTGCGGTGGAAGCGCGGGAGGTGGATGAACTGCGAACGCATCGGCGAGATCCACAGCTGATTCGCCACAGCTGGTAACTGGTAACTCAAAAGTCGTAAGACTACCACTAGATGACTTTTTTCTTCCCTTACGCGGTTTCGTCTGTAGTCCCACCTGAGTATTAGAGCCTGAATGCGATGACTCGCCCCAGCGGACCACCTTAAGCGGTGACTTATCTCTGTTGGTGTCATCCATTGAAGGATGACTTATGGTTCACTAGTGCGGCCTTTAATCACCAGTAATAAGTAATCGTTGACGTGGCTTGGAAGCACCACTAAATGCTATCTCTAAGGTTGCCTGTTCTAAGCTTGCGTCTCCGGGTTAAGGTATAAAGAATAACGCCCAACTGTAAACTGATCGAAAGTCATCAAGTGTTCAAGTGCGTTTCTGACTCGTGAAAGCCAAGGCACCCCTGAGTTTCTACACGCCAGGAGAATGTCTGATCTATCACGCTCTTGCACATGAGCAAAAAACGCAGCCTGATTCATCCGCGCGAGTTGAGCAAAGCTCGGACAAAACAAGGCTATGGATATCGAGTCATGCATCAGGCGGATTGTATTGATAAAGCTTGTGAACTATGTGGTGGAGCAGAAAACTGGAGAATGGCACGAGTGGGCAAAATGGCGGTGGCGAAAGGAAAGTGAGGGAGCTAGGTGATGAGATGCGGGCTGCAGCTCTCTTGTGGTTCTTTCAGTGGGCTCTAGCTGGGCGGCACCCCCAAGGTCTCGGCCCGCCGCGGACAGTGGCATCACCATTCTGCGTTCATCTCGTCCCCCCCTGAAGGGCGTTTTGACGACTTCACTTGCGGTTCGGTAAGATGATCTGCGCGGCAAAGCGTTTCTGTCACTGCCTGCAACGGTTGGGTACGGTACTGCAAATGTCCCTACATCCTCGTGTTCGTGCATCTAGTGAATGCTCACTGCAGATATGTGTGAGTGAATGCACACTGACCAATCTTGCATATCTTATCTCCACCAAATCAGCGGCATCTCAAATACCCATTTGATTTGTAGGCTACCAGTAATCAGAGTATCCATAAATTTTGCATTATTTCAAACAAAAATACGTTCTAAATGACATATCATACATACTACTCTTGAGAATTAGTAATAGGGAGCATATTATTGTCTGTACATTATTATCACTAGATGCACAATAATATTCCTATTGAAATCATCATCCTCATCATTGCTGAGCTCTGGGGTGGGGAGCAGCATATTTGGATGGCTGGAGTCAAGGTCGTTGGACGAGGGCCAGGTGAAGCAGGGAGCACAAAGTTTGGCAGTGGCAGGGGTGAAATCTGCCCTGCGCTTCGGCACGTTGAAACAAAGTTGGGGCTTATTTTACTGGTCTTTCAGGATTGAAACCTGGTTCACTGCACCTCACATCCAAGTCAAGGTTCCTCCTCTGGTTTGCTTGCAGTTGCAATAAAGGTTTATCAAACACCCAACCGCCCGGCGCAGCACGACACGACCCACATCGACCAATTCCAGGTAGAGATTATGCTCTTTCCTTCGACACTGACTCTCCAGTGGCAGCGGTCGTCGGTTTCGCAAGAAACTCGGGAGGATTTCTTGGGAAACTCCACAGAGCAGCAATCGAGGACGAAGAAAGGGAGATTGTGCAAGGCGGGCCAGTTAGCCTCATAATAACATCATCCACATTAGGGTTTCGATTGTGGGGTGTTCTACGTGACCTTTCTGTGTAGTTAGGTCGTTCAAGTTTAGAAGCACAATTGCTGCTAAGCTCACGGCCAAATGTTATTGCCTTCACTCTTGCTTACTCATTCAAAAATGATTTAATATACGTTCTCGCAGCTTCTAACTCATGCAGTCATGCTTCAGACGATAAACAGGGTATTTACCCATAGCACCAGCTTCAAGAGAAGGGGAAAGGGGGATAATGAAAACAGCGGAGATAAGTCCCCTCTTAGCGGAAAAGACTCTGCCGCAGGAGATCAACGACCAGACTCCCCTATTCGACTCGGATCGCCGTCGATTGCAGCGCTAGGCGAGTCAACGCTCAAGAAGATCGTTAAACGGTCGTTCTATGGCGACACGTCGGTGGAGCCGCTCGTCGATGGGAGGGGGGGGACGGGGAAGGAGGTTCCTACGGAAATGCTCGCGTTCGAGATAGGAGCCATCATGCGTCGCACGCTCGAAATATGCGACTCCATGTCCGAGAAAATGCTCTCATCGCTGCGCGCCAACCTTCAGGTCCGATAAGGTTTTCCTCGTTATACGCCGTTAGTGTGGTCCTGCAGCTCTTTTCCCGTAGCTGCTACACGTGGCTCCATTCGCGTGCGACTTTTGGTCAGCGTTCTTATCGTTAGTCAACGGTCTCTGCTCCAGGTCTCCCTTACTCCTCCCTGCCTTAACTTCTCCCCTCTTTCCGACGAGCCTCAGTATGCATGAATCTCATAGTTCCCCTTGTGGCTTCGCTCCGCGCAGGCGCCTGGCGTGGTAACTTTAATCTCCAGCGACCTTAGAGTACTATGGGGCCTCGCGGGTTACGAGAAGCACCAAGAGCTGCGATCAGTCGCATGCCGCGTCGCGGTGTTGGGTCGCAAGTGCCGGGAATCGCGTCTGCACCGACTCGAGCGACTCTTTGCGCGGCTCGACAGCACAGATGCCGATTATAAGATGTTCGCCGCGTCTTCTGCTGAAGGGGAGGTGCTTCTTAGGTGAGCTGAAGGGGAGGTGTCTTTCAAGTGATACGATGTTTATCAGGTATAGCTTGAGTCCTGTGATGTGGGTGATAATAATGAGAGATTATGGTGTCGCGAGTCTTGTTCTCATAAGTTCCGTTCCCGTTCCTTGCTTTCACGCATGGCGTGGTACTTGAACTTCATGGTGTGGCACGGTGTGGCACGGTGTGGCACGGCAGGTTCATGCGCGAGCAAGCGGAAGCGACGAGCGAGCTGAAGAGCGAGATGGAGTCCATCCAGGAGCTACACAGCCGGTGAGCGCGCGCCATGAGAAAGAGGGGTGGGGGGAGGGGGGACGTGGGATGTGGGGCGGGGGAGAGAGGGAGGAGGTGAATGGAATGGAACGGGGGAAATGGAGGCGGGGAAGTGGCGGGGGGATGGTGTCATTCCCGCCGCACCCGTACCCCTTGTCCCCTGCCCCTTCTTCCCCAGTACATGTACCCCTTTGAGGAGATGGTTACTCAGGGCAAGCTGGTAGCGCCGCTGCTGCTGCTGACACGCCTGTCATTCCCCCCCCCACCCCACCCACCCCCTTTCCGCCCATTTCCCGCCTGCCAGCATTCAGGAGTACGGGGAGTGGAACTCGCTGCAGGATATGGTGACGCAGGGCAAGCTGGTGGAGAAACTGCAGGGCCACTGCCTCTGGGCCTACCACCTCGACTTCCTCGTGCAGGTAGGTGCGCCTTGTGACGCGCCTCTAGTGCAGGTTGACGTGCAAGCATTGGTTCCCCTCCCCGTGCCCATGGGCACCTCAGAAGCTGCAGGGCCACTGCCTCTGGGCCTACCACCTCGACTTCCTCGTGCAGGTGGGTGCGCCTCGAAGCACCGTTAACAGCATAAGCATCAAGACGCGTCAGAACTAGCATCTCCTACAACCGCTTCCACCTCAAGCTCCCTCTCCGCACCTCACTCCTACCCTCCCCCCTCTCACCACCCTTCCCCCCCATCCCCCTTCCCCCCCCCGCGCGCGCTCATGCGCCAGCTGCTCATCATTGCAGCATGCTACGTGCGCAAGAAGATCTTCGCAGCGTTTGGGCACGGCATGTGTCCGCCACGCATCCGGGAGGCGTGTGTGGGAGAGGCGGGACTCGCGCTGCACTACGCCAATGTGGTGGTGCTGCTGGAACGGATCATCCAACAGCCGGACGAAGTGCTAGGGCCTACAAGGTGCGATAGGGCTCAGACATACCAGGGTAGGGCTGTATGGCATACCATGACATGGCATGGTGGTGCTATCAGCTCGCGCTGCACTATGCCAATGTGGTAGTGAACGGATCAACCAGCAGCCGGATGAAGTGCTGGGACCCACCAGGTAAAGGAATGGCATGGCGTGGTATGGCATGGCATGCTAGCATCACGTGCCCTTGTGTGCAGCTGCAGGACGCACTCAACTTCAACCCCTCCTCGTTCCTGCCCCACTCCCTCTGCCCGCCCTTACACTCGCTCTTCCCCACGTTGCATGCAGGGACGAGCTGTACGAGATGCTACGCGTGCAGCTGCAGGGCGCACTTAACTTCACCTCCTTGTTTCCCCCATTTCTCCTTCCAAACTCCCTCTCGCCTAACCCCCTCCCTCTGCTACACGCAGGGACGAGCTGTACGAGATGCTGCCGCGCAACATCCAGTACCTGCTGCGCGTGCAGCTGCAGGACGCACTCAACTTCCAGGCGGACGGGCGAGTGGAGGCGAACCTCAAGCGCGGGCTGCTGCTTCTGCCCACCATGGCGCACAACACCATCACCTGGCACTCGCTGCACACTCCTGGTGCTGCTCTTGACTCCTCTGAGGCAGTGTTTCAAGTGCAGGTGGGTGGTTCGAGGCTGGTTGTGCCAGGTGTATGGCTATGACTCACGAATTCCCTTGCACTGCTGCTGCTGCCCACCATGGCGCACAACACCATCATCTGGCACTCGCTGCACAGCCGGGGGCCTCTCTTGACTCCTTGGAGACGGTTTTCCAAGTGCAGGTGGGTGGATCCGCCAGTCGCTGCTGATATGCACTGCTTGCACCCCTGATGCTGCTTTTGCTGCTGCTGCTGCTGCCGCTGAGCAGTTAGAAGTGCCTCATTCCCCACTCACATCCCTCCCCACTCACATCCCTCCCATCCCGCCCTATTCCAACCCGTTCCCCCGTTCCCTCCCTTCCCACCACCCAGACCTTCTATTTTGCGAATGTGCAAGCGGTAAACGCCACACTAGTGGACGTGCGCCTCCTGGGCCTGTGCCGCATCTGCGGAGTGGAGTCGCCCATCGGCTGTGCCTCCACACAGGTGTGAGAGTGAGACGTCTCATCCCCTCTGTGACCCTCTGTCTCGTCCCCCGCCCATTACCCTCCAGACGTTCTACTTTGCGAATCTGCAGGCAGTGAACGCCACTCTAGTGGACGTGCTCCTGGGCCTGTGCCGCATATGCGGGGTGGAGTCGCCCATCGGCTGTGTGTCCACGCAGGTGCCCGCGTCCCTCGACTACACCCAGCTCGTAGCAGAGAAGGTGGCTGAGGCGGAGCGCCAGTTCCGCAAGGCGTGCGGCATGGATGAGAGAGATGAGGACTGGTTTGGGGGGGAGGTGACTAAAGTGCATGATGACTCGTGCCAGGCTAGACGGGCGCAAACGCCGAGGGGTGGTGAGGCGGCTCCAGTAGCTTCAGCAGTGTCAGTAGTTTCAGCAGCTTCGGATGTGGAGGGAGGCCGGAGTGGTAGCAGTGTTGTGCGGGAGAAGGGCTTGCAGTGTAATCGACCACACACGCCCGCGCCCACTGCTGCTACTGTCTCCGCCTCTGCTACATCGTTTGCTGCCACTGCCACTGCCAACGCTGCTGCTGCTGCATCTGCTGCTGCCGAACTTGGTGCCAGTGGTTCTGCTGCTGCTGCTTGCTCCAGTGGGGAAGGAGAGGGCAGCAGGGGCACAAGCACGGCCACTACCATGAGTATACACAAGAGCAGCAGCACAGGTAGTGCTGGTGGCGGCGGTGGTGTGAATGGCGGCAGTGACGGCACAGGCAGCCCTGCCTTCGTGACTCCCCCCGAGTCCCCTGCCAGCGCCGTTTCCCTGCCCTCTGCCATCCCTGTGTCTCGGTCTGAAGGTGGGGGGGTGGAGAGGAAGGGGGGTGCTGGGAGGAGGGAGAGGGGGAGGACGGATGGCAGGGACGGGGAGGAGCAGAGTCAGAGCCTGGAGGAGAGGGGTGGAATGAAGGCGGGGAGGGAGGAGGAGTTGGGTGAAGCGGAGCAGTGTGGTAAGAGTAGGACAGGAGGCGGTAGGGCGAAGAAGAGCAGTCAGGGTGCGGCGTCTAGCAGTAGTGGTAGAGTGAGAAGCAGGAGCAAGCTGCAGCAGGAGAACGAGCTTCCACGAGCCCAAACCGCGCCTACTGCTGAAACGACAGCAGTGACAAGTGTACACAATGGAAGAGACAGTGGTGGTGATTGCGGTGGCAGCAACACCAGCGGCATCAACAGCACCAGCGGCACTGAGTCTCCCTTTAGAGTCCCCAGCAGGCCCTCCTCTGGTCGCCCCACCAGATCCAGACCCAGTAGTAGCCGGTTCAAAGGGTCAGATGCGTCTGGCTCTGCTGCTGGTGCTGGAGCTGCTGTTGGTCCTTCTGATTCCTCCTCCTCCTCCCCCTCTCGTCTTCCCACACCTCCCCCTCCCGCCACCTACTCCCGACCGCGCATCCCCTCCTCTCGATCTGACAACTCCTTCCTGCAGCAGCAGGGGGGCGGAGGGCGGAGAGGGAAAGAGAGCATGCGAAACAGCGGCGGTGGGGTTTGTAAGAGCCAGAGCTGCAGCCCGCAGGCAGACAGGCTTGTGGTGGCTAGCTGTGCTTCCTCCTCCCCTGGTCGCCCCTCCCCTGGCCGGCTCTCCCCAAGTGACGCCTCCCCCAGTCGAGCCTCCCCTGGTCGCGGCTCCCCCAGGCAAGCCTCTGGGTGCTTCTCCCCTCAGGGCCTCCCGTTCCTCTCCCCCGCTGGTACCCCTTCCCCCGCTGACTCCCCCCGCTCGTCCAGGCTGGGGCGGGGGGAAGCAAGGGGGGACGTGGGGGGAGGATTGGGGGAAAAAGAGGCGAGTGGGGGGGGACGGGGAGCAAGAGAGGCGACTGGGGAGGGATTAGACGAAACAAGGGCTATGAGGGATAGGCTGGGGGATGGAGAACAGGAGAGGGAGGCACAGGGGGAGGCAGGGTTAGAGGGGGCCACAGGGGAAGCGAGGAAACGGAGCAGCAAGAGTTGCAGTAGTGGCAGACAGAGACAAGGCGAGACGGAGGGGAGCGATCAGGGGCGGAGCAGCAGCATGAGGAGCACCAACAGCGGTAGCAGAAGCAGCAGCAAGAGAAGTGCCACTGGGGGCAGCAGCAGGCAGGGTAACACCAGCAGCAGCGCGGCTGCAACCTCTAAATCCGTCCCACCATCCTCCTCAGCCGTTTCCTCTACCTCCTCCTCCTCATCCATCCCCGGGACTTCCTCCGCTGCCTCCTCTGTAGCCCGTCAAGTCAGCACAGACTCATTCATTTCCACAGACACCACCGACCCCCACTCCTCCTCTTCCTCCGCGCTCTCTTCCGCGCTCTCCTCCCTGCCCTCCTCCATCCCCTCAATTCCCTCCTCCGCCTCGTCTTCCTCCTCGTCCTCTCGAGGCTGGGGGTCGCAGCGATGGGGCTTTAGCAAGTCAAGATCCATGCGAGTGACCACGGCTCCCCCTGCCACGCCCCCTCGCCCCTCCACCCCTCCCGCCAGCAGCTTCTCTTCCGATCTCATGCTTGCTGCTGGTGTCACTGATTGGGATACCGAAAGTCCTGCTGTTGCCAGGGTTGACGGGAGCCTGTCACTTGATCATTCCCTCTCCTCCTCTCTGCTCTCCCCCTCGCTGCTGGAAACCAGGCGCCTGCGCAAGGCCATGCAGGGAGGGGCGATAGTGGGGTGTTTCACAGGGGGTGGGGCTGCAGCAGCTATGGACAGTGAGTCAGAGGCAGAAGGGGGGAGGAGGGGAGGGGGAGGCTCTAGGTGTGAAGATTGTGAATTGAACAAGTAATTAGATTAGAGGAACAACCTAGCATACATAGTTGGAAGGGAAGGTTGGAAGGGAAGGATGAAAGTGACCATAGGTTGGGTTGACCTCACTTGGGGAAGTGAGGGAACCATAGGTCAAGTGGGTTGGGTTGCCCACACTTTGTAGAAGTGAGGCAACCCTAGGCCCACTTGGCTTGGGGTAACCTCAATTGGGTGGATTGGCACCCCAAAGTGCAAGACTACACCCAAAGTTGGGTGTAGTCCCAACCCAACTGTACACCACAATTGGTGTACAGTCACATGTGTTGGCATGCTACACAATATATATTTTAACACAACCCCTTAGCATGCTAACACAAGAAGAGAACAACCCCTGAATCAAGGGGCGCCCGGGCGAGCAAGGCCAATGAGGCGGAGGAAGGCAGAGTGCGCGGGGCGAAGGAGGGCCTTAGTGAAGATGTCGGCCAAGTTGGCCTCGGTTGCAATCTTGCGAACGGCAATGAGGCCCTTCTGGACGAGCTCGCGAACGAAGAAGTAGCGGAGTTCGATGTGCTTGGAGCGGGCGTGATAGACGGGGTCCTGAGTGAGATGGATGGTGCTGGCGTTGTCGCACCAGAGAGTGGGGCACGTCTGGGGGGCGCCAAGCTCCGCAAGAAGGAAGCAGAGCCAGCGTGACTCCTGGGCGGCCATGGTGCCAGCGTAGAGCTCGGCTTCGCAGGTGGAGAGAGAGATGGCGGAGGAGCGGGTGGAGCGCCAGCTGATGAGGCCGCTGCCAAGGGTGAAGCTGTAGCCCTGGGAGGAGCGGCGGTCCGGCTGCGTGTCAGCCCATGAGGAGTCACTGAAGCCCGAGAGAAGGGGACGGGAAGGGCCGCCGAGGGTGAGAGCAAGGTCCCTGGTCCCGCGAAGGTAGCGGAGGACCCGCTTGGCAGCTTTCCAGTGCTCCTCAGAGTGACGACCGGAGCCGACAAAGCGAGCGAGCACGCTGATGGGGTAGGCGAGGTCGGGGCGGGTGCACATCATTGCGTACATCAAGGACCCAACGAGCTCGGCATAGGGGTGGGGGGAGGAGGTGGGGGAGGTGGGTGGAGCGAGTTGGTGACCGAAGGGGAGCGGGGTGGAAACAGGCTTGGCTTGCGCCATGTCGAACTTCTCCAAGACCTGGCCGATGTAATGGGACTGGGAGAGGGTGATTGTGCGAGCAGGGCGGTTGCGCGTGATGGTCATGCCGAGGTAGTGAGTGAGGGCGCCAAGGTCTTTGCACTTGTGCCGCTGCTGCAGGGACAGCTTCACCTGCCCCATGTCGGCCTTGGTGTCAGAGAGCAGGATCATGTCGTCGACATATACCAGAATGAAGAAGCGGCGGGGGGAGGAGCGGATGAAGAGGCTGGCGTCGGAGTGGGAAGTTGAGAAGCCGAGGGACCCCAAGGTGGCAGCCAGCTTCGCATGCCACTCACGCGGTGCCTGCTTCAAGCCGTAGACGGGGCGACGCAGCTGCCAGACAGTGTTCTCAGGAAAGGCTGCGTGGAACCCGGGGGGTCGCCGGAGGAAAATGCGCTCATGCAGGTCGCCCTGCAGGAACGCATTGGAGACGTCCATGGAGTCGATTTCCATGTCGTCACGTGCACCAATGTCCATGGCGGCGCGAAGGGTGGGTGGTTTGGCGGTGGGGGCGTAGGTGAACCAGTAGTCCTCAGCCCAAGTCTGCGTGAACCCCTTGGCGCAGTAGCGGGCCTTGTACACTGGTTCCTCGCCCGGCAGCTGCTTCACCCGAAAGACCCATTTGCCGTCAACGAGATTAGCGCCAGCAGGGAGGGGGACATCGACAAAGGAGTCGTTGCGAATGAAAGCCTCACACTCCAGGAAGATCGCTGCTATCCATTTATCCGCATCAGGGCAGGTGATGGCTTCCTGGAAGGTGGAGGGAGTGAAGATGGTGGGGGTAGTAGTGGCGCCAAGGACAGGAAAGCCCAGGAAGTCAAGGTAGAGGGCGGCAAGGAATGGAGTGTGCTCCCGAATGTTAAGAAACTCCTCATGGGAGTCCTCAAGGAGCTGAATGGAGGCAGGAGGAGGAGCCCCAAGGATTTTGTCCACAGAGCGGGTATGGATGTAAGGGAGGAGGAAGGGGGAGGAACGGGAAGTGGCACGACGCCGCTGCTGCTGCTGGTGCTGCGGAAGCTGCTGCCCTTGTTGCTGCAGCTGCGGCTGACCGTGCTGGTGCTGCGGCTGCTGAGGCTGCTGCTGCTGCTGCTGCCGCTGCTGCTGCTGCTGCTGCTGCTGCTGCTGCTGCTGCTGCTGTCCCGGCTGCCGCTGCTGCTGCTGCTGCTGGCCCGGCTGCTGCTGCTGCTGCTGCCTATCCGGCTGCTGGAAGGAGGGAGAGGGAGAGGAGGAGGGAGGGGGGGGAGGGGGTGCGGCCGAGTGAGCGGGGGAAGCGGGTGCGGCAGGGTCGTAGACATCGGCGGAGGAGGAGGGCGGGAGCGGAGCTGCGACGGGTGGGAGGAGAGGGGCTGGAGGGAGAAGGGGCGGGAGGACGGTGTCGGTCCAAGCAAGGGGACGAGTGGGAGGAGGGAGAGGATCAGGGGGAGGAGTGGAGTAATAGGGGACGGATTCGCCGAAGACGACGTCGCCGCTGCGGATGAGGCGATTGGTGGGAGGGTGGAGGAAGAGGTAGCCTGGGGAGTCGCGATTGTGCCCAAGGTAAACACATTCCAGGGCGCGAGGAGCAAGCTTGCCAGCGGCGCGGGAGCGGTCGGCGGGTGGGATGAGAACGAAGGCCTTGCAGCCCCAAACGCGAAGGCCGGCAGCGTCGGGTTTGGCGTTGGACCAAAGCTCTGTAGGGGAGGAGGAAGGATGCTGAGGGTGGGAGCGGAGATTAAGGAGAAGAGCGGCGTGGAGGAGGGCATAGCTCCAGAGGGAAGGAGGGGTGGAGGCATGAGCAATGAGACAGCGAGCTATCTTGGTGATCTCACGAATGCGGCTCTCAGCAATGCCGTTCTGCTGAGGGGAGTGGGGAAGGGTGGAGGTCTGTTGGATGCCGTAGGTGTTGCAGTATGTGGCAAGGGTGTTATTGATGAACTCACCCCCACCGTCAGAGTGAAGGCGGCCGATGGGGCGTTTGAAGTGATTGCGGCACTGTTCGGCCCAGTTGATGACCACTGCCGGCACCTGGTCTTTCGTGTGAAGGAAGAAGGTGGTGGAGTACCGGCTGTGGTCGTCAACGAGGACGAGCATGTACCGATACCCCTGGCGGGAGCGGATGGGATAGGGGCCCCAGAGGTCCATGTGCACAAGGTCAATGGGGGCGGCGGCGAAGGTGGGATGACTCTGGTGGGGGGACTGTTTGAGCTTGCCGTGAATGCATGAAGGGCATGGGGGAGAGGGGGAGGAGGGGAGGGGAGGTAAAACAGGAGGAAGGCTGCGGAGGAGGCGAGAGGTGACTGTGGTGCGAAGGGCGGTGAAGTTGGGATGGCCGAGTCTGTGGTGTAAGAGGACAGCAGGGTGGGAGAGGGTAGTGGAGGAGGAGGGAGATGGGGTGATGGAAGGAACGGGAGGGGAGGAGGAGGATGGTGGGGAGGGAGAAGAGGATACGTGAGGGGGAGGGGAAGGGGGAAGTAAAGGAGGAGGAGGTGGACCGGTGGAAGCACCGGAACGAGTGGTGACGTGGCAGAAGGATGGGCGAGGCGTGCGGAGTGTGTAGAGGCGAGTGCGGGGGCAAAGCGGAATGCGGAGAAGGAAGCGACCGGAGGAGGTTTGGTAGAGATCACAGTAATTGGCATAACCGGGGTATATGGCAGTGATACCAACACCTTGGAGCTCACGGTGGGAGAGGAGGTTGTTGCGGAGAGTGGGGATGTGGAGACCTGTGACCTTACCGGAGGGGAAGGCAGTGCAAGGGAGGGTGGAGAGGTGAGTGCATGGAATGGAAAAGCTGGAATCAGCCCCATGAACCTGAGTGGGAAGTGGTAGTGGGGTGAGAGTGCCAGCGTCTTTCAGTGCGGTTTCAGTGGCTCCACTGTCAAGGACAAAGTCCAGGGTGGGAGAAGAGGGAGGAGGGGGTGGGACGGGGTACTGAAACGAAGTCTCATTGACAGCAGAGGGATACATGGCAGCGACGGACGGTGCAACACTGATATTACCAAGGAAACTACCAGAAGTGTCGGGAACACTGGGGGGGGCAGAGGGGAGGGAACCCCAGGGGGGAGGAGGAGGAAGGGAGGTATGAGCGGCCATGGCCGCTGTGCCAAAGGTGAGTGGTTGCTGTTGCCAGGGTGGGGGAAGGAACTGCTGCTGCTGCTGCGGCGGTGGCTGGAAGAACTGCGGCGGCGGCGGCTGCTGGGGCTGGAGAAACTGCGGCTGCTGCTGCTGCTGGTGGAAGTACAGGTGCTGCTGCTGCTGGTGCTGCTGAAACTGCTGCAGCTGTGAGGGTGGGGAGGGGGTAACCATGCGGAGGTGAGCAGGAAGGAAAGAGGGGAGGGTTTGAATGTCCACTAAGGAGGGGCGAGGTGTGACCGAGTTCCAGCGAGGAGGGGTGCCAGTGTTGCCGCGATCAAACCAGGCGTCGTCAAGTGCCTTAAAGCACGTGGTGGGGGGATGGTTGGTCTGGCCGCAAGGGGTACCTGCATGGGGACCATGGCGACGCACATATGTGCATGGGGGGAGAGTGCCAGGGCGTCCGCCTCGAGTCACAGCACCTCCAGCAGGGGCGCTGCCAGCACCACCACCACGGCCACCACGGCCACCACTACCACCACCGCCACCACCACGGCCTCCACCACCACCACCGCCACCCGCTCCACGGCCTCCGCCGCCGCCGCTGCGACCACCCTGGTTGCGCGGCTGCGTAGCGTTGAGGGAGGTGGAGGAGGAGGACTGAGGGGTGGTAAGGTTGACAACGGGGGTGCGGAGCTTGACCTCCGTGTCAATGATCCACTGGACCACGTCGTCGAGGCCGGCCATGGGGTTGGCCTCAGTGAAGGCATGGAGGCGGGACTCGTAGTCCGCGGTGAGGTTGTAGAGGAGGCGGTG